GAGTAAATTGAAGCATCTAGATGACTTCATTTGTGGAAATAAGGAGAGAAAGGCCTGAAAACAAAATAAAAGAATTATTTCATAGGGAACGATTTTATGATGTCTAAGTAGATGAATCGGGACAAATTCTACTAAGGCAAGCAATGTAACAATCACAGTTACTGCAACTTGCTTTCAAAGTGGTTAGAGGCACACCAAATAGAATTCCGATTCTCCAAATTTTTACCTGCTTCATTTGTGCGGATCATTCGAGATGGGGTGCTTGGATCTCCAGTGCCAATTGGATTGGTGGCCACCACTCGAAATTCATATTCCACCCAGGGATTTAGGTCCACAGCCATGGCTGATTCCATGTCACCTGTTATGATTTCTGGAACTAAAGAGGAAGGAGATTCCATGTCATTAGGAGGAATTGAAAAAATGCTACAAAACAATTGAAAATATCACCACTACTGACAGAATCAGCAGGCAGATGCCTTTGTCCTCATAACATATGGTCATGGTGTCACTCCAGTGTCATTAACAAATGAAAATCAATCTTCAGATAGTAAGCACTTGCCTATGGCAAAGTTTGTTGGAGTTAATTAGAATGCTTTCATCTTATCTTTATACACAACTTGCCATTATCTACACTAAAAATCATTTTGTCAACCCAGCAATCTCAGATAAGGGGCAAAGTAGAGCTATAATTTAAGCAAAGAGTTTTTCTTCAATTTGTAGGAAATTTCCTGAGCAGTTAGCCTCTCCTGGTTCTGGCAAACATGTTTAATCACTTGGCAGTTCCAAGTTGCAAATTAAGAATGTACCTCTCTAAGTTAAAAACTCAGTTTGTGGTATCTAAGTAGAAGCTCTGAACTCTCTATAGAGTGACTTTTGTACACATCTACATTTTTATCAAAGCATAAAATTGTTTGTCAATACAATTACCATGTAGTGAAGTATTTTTTACACACCATATATACTCTATTTGGGACTGCTTTTCTTGTTCACTCATCTCTTCTGTTTAGGAAATATTCCTAGAAAAATATTTGTTACAGGGGTGAAAGGTAGAACATGGAGAATCTCCCTTATGGTGTTCAAAGATCGTCTGGATTTACATTAGTCCTGGATTTCTGTGTAAACGTGGTGGAGCCAAGGGGCTGGGGATCTTGAGTTGAAGACTCAGTTCGGTTTTTGCATGGCAAGGTGGAATGAAATCATTTTGGATTTTCCATGAAAATCTCTTCTGAAATGTATCAAAATCATGTTGCCAAATGAGCAGCTCTGAGAAAGGTGAATGATCTGTGCATAGGCAGTGTGGGCTGCCTGACAAATCTCACAGCACTGCGAGCTGATATTTTAGCAATGACATGAAGATGTAGAAAAAAGTCTGTCCATTCTTGCTGCACTGGCAGTTGAGCAATATCCTTGGACTGTAAGAGGTCAGGGAGAAAAGGGGCCACTGTTCAGTCCATAGCTTGGTGAAATGCTGAGCAATGCTTGCTAAACATGAGAGGGGAAGAAAAGACTCCAAGACATATAGCCCTTACTAGGCTCCAACCTACACTGTATCACCAACATTTTCCTTGAGTCCACAAGGGTTGGCCTTACTGTTTATGTCAGTAATCTCAAGCAACTCTAGACATCTGGGCCATCCCTCATTCCTTTTATTCTAATCTCCACAGAATCTGTATATTTTCTCTTCTGCTCAGTTCACACCTCTAATTCTTCAAGATCTTCCACTGTGACCTTTGGAATTCATGATCTGTCATTAGCAAACTCCCCTATATACTCAATCTCCTCTCTGAACATTTTCCCAACTTTTTACTCTAATAAAAACTGAGAAAATTTTAACCTGCTTGAGTGGTCGCCCTCTTAAGGTATGGTGGAGGAGAAGAACCAGCCCTTTCTTTTTTCCCCTACAGATGTCTCTAATGGATGTTTCCTGTTACAAGCAGGCAGGTGTTTTCCCATGTAAAGCAAAAACGAAGCTCTCTTAACATTTCTTCTTCTTCCAGGCTTCACCCAATTGCTCTGTTTCTTTTATATCAAAACTTGAGAACTATTTGTGCTATTACTTGCTGTCTCCAATTATTTTCCTTCTTTCTCTCTTGAATCCACTCCAATCAGGCTGTTACCTCCAGCTTTCCACCAGACTGGCTCCTGTCAAGATTACCAATGCTCTCTGTTACTAAAACCTTATGGTCAGGTCTCTGTTCCTCATCTTACTTTATCTATCATCACCCTTAGACTCAACTGATCACACTTCCCTTTTAAATACTTTTCAAAACTTAACTTTTGTTTCTCTCCTATCTGACTATGCCTTGTCACTCTCCATTGCTGGTTTCTTTTCATTTTCCAGGTGCAACCCAATTCTACTAACACTTTTCCATTTT